CGCTCGCTACTCTAGTAGTCGCTGATGGACGCTGCCGCAAGCTGTGAACGCAGCGTAAGCGGGAGATGCGGGTTTGAGTTCGTCCCGCGCGCGACTTTTGGCCACAAACATTTCTGTGATAACTTTCGCAGCGCGAGCTGCGGCGTTAACCAGTAGTTTCATTATTTCAGGCTGGGATCAAGCTTCGCGAGCTTCGACCTACGTCATCGCGAAGTCTGAGCACAAACTTGGGCTTATTTGTCACCGAAACATTTCTTGCGACTGAGCTTAACCTTAGCGATGTTTTGGAAAGCCGAGTGTCCATCTCGCGTGTTTGCGTCATCCCCGGCTTTCACGGTATTATCTTTAAATATAGAAATTGTACATTTAATCATCCACAGCTACACTACACTCTCCTTCTCGCAATTCCATTGACAGTTCTGGGCCACCTGACTTGCTTTCTTTCAGTACTTCCGTTTTTTCCTAACCAGAGTGAAGTCCCATCCCAAGATCAGTCATCGATAACAGGCTAGCCCTAGTTCTAGCCCTAGCACTGCCCACCAACTTTAGATTCGTGTTCGAATGTTATTGACCATAACAGGGGCTGTGTATAGTTAGGCAAGATTACACAGCTCTAATTTGTTTGTCAAAAAGTTGTTAAATATAGCTCGCTCCCAAATCCAACTGAGCTAACCTTATAGTAACGCGAACAGTACTAACTGTACCACGATCGGTGAAATTTCCAGTCTGAAAAGGACGAAAAGGCCGGAACGTGAACACTAAAACTCGTTGCCGACTACGAACAACATCTCCTCAAAAGGCTCTGAAGAAGGCAATACTGCCGAAACGTCAGTCTGGTAAAGGATTTGTAACAATCTCGGATTGCTAAATAAACTTCTGTAAAAATCGTTCATCACTCCTGTGTTCAGGAAATGGAATTCCGGAATCATGTTTGTATCCGTGATTTCACGACACATTCGTAAACCCCTCACAGAAATCTACTGCTCGACTTCCCTTGATTATCACCATTTAAAATTCTGAACGAGAGTCCGAGACATGGCTCATTCCAAGAGACATTCCGGGATGAGTAGATCATATTCTTACAAAGATAGTCTGGTTTGCAGTCGCAGAGGATGTACCACATAAGCCTTTAAACTGCGAATTTCACTCTCTCGTTTGCTCTCCTTCTCTCTCTCTCTCGTTTGCTCATAAGACGGATCGCCGTCCGTAGAAGTTGCCTCACCCACCTAGGCACGAAATTTACTTGACGTCCTATACCTGTGTATAGTTAGGCAAAACGCACAGTCAGGTACAGGTAGCTTCCGTCTTTGTAAGTCTGCCTTCATACTTTACGGCATCAGCTTTTGAGCGTCCGGCAGCGTCGCCACTGGGAAAGAGCGACGATTCGAGGTCTAATACTTCCTAGGGCAGGGCACATCGTTGTTGGGGAATCCCCAATAGGGGGGGGTCGTATTTGGGCTGAGAAAAATTTATTTTGATAGTTGATTTTTCTCGCTTCATGGACGTTGTAAAGGGAGGGGGGGGTCGTATTTGATCATTTTTGGGAGGGGGTCGTATTTACGTTTTGGCGGACTTTTGGTGATTTTCCTGTTTCACGTACTATATGCCCCCCGCTCGACGGCTCGATTCGATGAGGAAGGACAGAGGGCTGGGGGGGGGTCGTACCAACTCCCAAAAAAGGGGGGGGGGGTCGTACGGGCTCGACCAAAATCCCCAACTAATGCTGTGCCCTGTCCCTGGGCCTGGTAGACGCTGGCGAACGCTGGGAGACGCTGCACGCTGGTAGACGCTAGATCGATATCTACAATTTCCTAGCCGCTGATGACGCCGAAGCGCTGAAGCGCCATTGGAGGCTGCCGCGAAAGCAGGAACGTGCCTTCGGACCAAACTTTGGTCGTTTTAACATCATATTCCAGCTCGCCCCTCTCTCTCTCTCTTTCTCTCTCTCTCTCAATATTTCTATCTGTTTTCTCACCCGCGCAGCAGTGTCTCGCTTCTACAAATGCTCGTCCAGTGCTTGAAGACCTTGAGACATTTCCGACGACTCCGTCCACATTCTCTACACCGGTAAAACAATAAATTAGAACTCTATTTAGATCCCGAAGCCTACGAATTGTTGTCGCGAGTGTGTGTTCAATCAACGATGCAGGGCGCTTGCATCGTTGTCAATTACTGCAAGTGACAGGTGAAAGGCTTTATCTCCGAATTTGAAAGCGTCGAGCTATAGCTGTCCTTCATCAGTGGCAGTTACTTGTTCCATTTCGAAAAGGATCTACCGTTTTCAATGCTGGCATCGACTTTTTGCTTGTATACCTTACGGGTTTGCTTTTACGATTTACTTTTTCAAGCTGAACGTTTGATTTGTTAGTTCGTCATCCTCAAAGACAGTTCCCGCGATGAAGTAGTCCCGAAATGCCTCCGTATTTGGTATCATAGTCTGAATTAGCAAAAAGTGTACCGCTTTCATCACTCGAAACGGCGAGATAAAAGGACTAGAGACGCGTGATTATTGCAACCACGATTACTTTCACTCTGCAAGACAACGGCTTACAAGCGGAATGCGTGTACATAGCGTTGCCTGGAGCGTCGTAGGGTGACTCCCTCTCGCCGGGAATCGGTTGCACATCGAATCCTGCTGATTAAGCTTACCCTCATAATGATCTCGTCCAAGGCCCGGTACTGCTGAAGGGGTCTTTGTTAAGGGTGTTCTCAAACTTTTTTCCGCTCCTTGCTCTACTGTGGAGTTACTTATGGGCTACTCTTACATGATTGAGCACCTAGTGCCCGCAAAACTTGATCGCGAGAATTGTCTTTGTGGGCCTTAAGGACAGACTGCACTTATTTCCGTGGATCCTAGTCTTTGCTACGAACGGGGTGATCTGCAGCTGCAGCTCGTACCACTTTCTCCACTTATTGTAGAATGCATGCGAATGGGAATGGAGATTGGTGGAACGGTCCCCACACTCCGCCCGCGCTGCCGAATGGCCTACCAACCGCGAAACGCGCTGCTTCCCTGCACCCTCTCCAATTTGGTTGTTCGCTACAGCTGAGTGCGTGTTTCGCTGCGGAATGTTGGAATCGACGCAAGTGCTGCACATTGATGAAGCCCAGGTGGAGTATGGAGACGGCACTCGGGTACCGCAATCTTCCAGCCTCTTTCCCAAGCACTTGTGAGACCAGAAAGTGGCGCGACACGGCAACTGCGGACCATTCCTTCGCACATGGAAAGGACCACCCTAGGAGTATGCAGTTTGCCTCCGATGCATTACGAAACACTAATATTAATCAGTCTGCTCAGAATAATGGCCTCTTTTCACGAGCCGCGCCCTCACTACCGAGTGTCAAGTAGAGTAATACCCTCATCTGCAGAGCATCCCCATCTCCACCGAGGGCAGATTGCATCCGCGCAATCTAAAGCGAATATCAGCCACTGAACAATTTATCTTTCACCTAGATGTTTCTAAATATCATCATCATCGTTGTGTAAACTCATTTCTTCAGATAATATCGACGGGAAAACCAACGTGCCTCCAGGAAATTTCGAGAAAACGTGCTCAAATGCCAACCCGCGCTACATTGATAATGCAGGTGAATTTTTTGAAGGAACGCACTTATTTGTCGCCAGCGGCTGGTCCCACGCGCGCGCAACTTTGAATTCAAACGCGCTGTGTGCATACGCACAACACCCTGGACACCGTAACCTCTCCTGGTTTATTATATGCAAATCGGCGCTGCTGTCGTTCCTCTTCTATTATACACAACTAGCCGCTACTGTCGTTCGTCTCCTGATCTGCAACATACAACTTCGCTGCTGCTAGCAACATTCTCTATTGTCTGCATCCTGTATTGCTCCTGCATATTCCATCAGAACGGCGATTTCGTAGGTGAGTTTTCACATTTTCTGAATTCAATCCCTTCTCTTCATTGTGGTCCTGAGCCCCTCTTCCTTTTCATGGAAGGGTGTCTAGGTGGGGAGGGTTATTGAGGGCGGTGATCACGAATATGATATCGTGAGCACGAGTATTATAATGATTTGTATCACTGGCGCCATCTGGCGCCAGATGGCGCCAGTGACACAAACCGATATAATTCTCGTGATCACGACCCTCGGCAACCCCCCACACCCCATCCCCCTCCCTGAAAAGGAAGAGGGGCTCAGGAACACATAAAATGAGAAATGAAGGGAAAGGGATTGAATTCAGAAAAAAAAACAAAAATGGAAGCTGGACTTCGGTACAGTAGCGCTACAGCTGTAGCGCGGCGTAGCGCTAAAAGTCTGAACGCTGCCTAAAGAAGTTTTGCTCAACACCTCAGGTCATCTCGTGGTTTTCCGAAGGGTTCGCGTAACAGCATTCACCGCGAATATCTCGGAAGCCATGACAGAAACCTGATGATTCTCTACGCCACAAAGCAATGGTAATGTGAAGGGGATATATAAAGTGCATGCAAGACAGGTTCAAGAAAGGGTAATGTAGAATGGGATCGAAAATGAAAGCACGGAGAAAATGGCGACGCATTCACAAATATTAGAATTCAGGAAATGTGAAAACTCACCTATGAGATCGCCGTTCTGATGGAACATGCAGGGGCAAAAAGAATGTAGTCAAAAGAGAATGTTAGAAAAACTGATATAATCAACTTGTGTGGATTCCAGCATGTGACACCGTGTCTCTGGAGCAGCGCGCTTACCCACTATAAGAGAAAATAGGGTTATCCGTTCAGTACATACTAGTTTATTCGTTCGTTCGTATATAATAGACCAGGAGAGACGGTTTTCAGAGTGTTGTGCACATGCACACAGCGCGTTTGAATTCAAAGTTGCGCGCGCGTGGGACCAGCCGCTGGCGACAAATAAGTGCGTTCCATTTTTCGTTCGTCGAAGGATGGCATATATCGTGCTACTTGGCTTTTTCATTCAGCTTTGATAGAACTATTCGTTTTCCTTCCTTTTGCTGTCTTTTATCTGTCCGAATCATAGTTTTATTGTGTTTACAGAGGTAATGTCAACTGCGAAGCGAGCTCCTAGTGTAGCTGACGAATATAACTGGACAGAATCGGTAAGCCTAGATTCGTTTTTTTTTGTTTTGTTCAGAGAATACCACTCCCTTTCTCAGATTATTCTATAAACTAGACGCCCGTAGCACCATAATGTGCAAAAACTTTCGATGTTTGAGCATAACATTTGAGTGTTGCAAAGCAAAAGTCAAGGTGGTATAAGAACCAAGGAGCAGTGCAAAACTTAAAACAGGAGTTACATCGTAGACTTCACGAAACCATAGTCAGTATGATGGGCCAACATCAAGAGTTTACATGGCCTATTGTCGCCTACGCAACAGGAGAGCCTCCAAGGCTCTTTTTTGGTCGTTGTTTTCTTTTTTACATTTTACTATAGTCCACTTTGGACGCAAGACTTCGCGGTTCCCTGGAGTCGGTGAAAAAAATTCCAGCTAGATGCATATGCACATCATCTAACTCTCCGAACACTTCACACACTTGCACATCATCCTAAATTTTCATCCAGCTGCCTACTTCGGGGGTTTTAGCCTTATTTAGTTTGGATTTTGGTCTTTTCACGGCTCAAAAGTCGGTCTCCCAAGCGAAAAAACGATGTTTTTCTCTCAAGCCCCGGTCTTAGATTCGGCAAACTGGAAGGCTGCTTTGATACTTTGCGTCAGCGTTTTGAGCGATTAGGAAAATGTGGATATCGATCTAGCGTTTGAACGTCGCGTTCTGGCGAAAGTCGCGTCAAGTCGCTGAAAACGCTGGCGCTGGCGTACTCCCAGAACGTTGATGTACGCTGGCTTACGCTAGATCGATACCTATACCTTCACAGTCGCGAAACGCCTAAAACGCTGACGTACGCTCGAACGATCAAAACGCTGCCGTAACAAAGTGTGAACGCAGCTTGGGTGCAGAGTTGTGGTGCCCAGCATGCGCGAAAAATATTTGATACGTTTCGATCAGGAGAACCGGAGAATTTCCTGTGTCTCCGTCGTTGTCTCCGCTTCTTTCAATTCCACAATTCGCCGATTCTCCCTTTCGCAAAGATGGACCGGCGAAAATGAAATATGCATTGAATTGCTCCGTTCTGTGAGACTGATTGTTTCAGTTAGCCAAAGCGTTCCGTGCTGGTAGCGAGTGGTCAGACAAAGATGAGTTACTGGACGTTGTTTATTGGGGAAAGCAGGTGAGCCGTTTTTCTGCAGATTTCATGAAGCGCTCTGAGGGTTACAGTTCTGTTCATCTTGGTGGGGCATTTTGCTGGCTCAAAGCGCTCGATTTCGATTGTACAGTCGTCATCCGTGCACTTGATTAGGGCGGCAAGGGTCGCGACGCTGCGGCGTGTCACGAGCGCGGCGATCAGCTGTTTCCAGCCTATTTTCAGCCATTTTCTCCCTAATTTACACTGTTATGGCTGCTTTTCTCGAGATTAGTTGTTCCTTGTCTTCACAAGGTAAATTATGATTGAGATCCCTCTGCTTTTAGCGCACAGTTAAACAGTTGATCAGACAACTGAAAAAGTACCTGAAAAAATCGCAGAAACACTCTATTTTAGAAACAAAAAAGCCCTAATGTACTTCATAAAGACCATAAAATAACTAACCAATTAAATAGAAAATACAGTGAAAATTAGGGAGAAAATGGCCAAATTAGGCTGGAAACAGCTGATCGCCGCGGTCGTGACGCGCCGCAGCCGCGTCGCGACCCTTGCCGCCCTAATCAAGTGCCCGGATGACGACTGTACAAACCTGTCAATTCCTGTAAAGCGATACAATGAAGTGAGCATTGTATACTCTTGACAAGAGTTAACAGGTCCCACCGAGATAAGACGTGTAACTTAACAAAGTAAAAGAAACTAGCCAACTATAATAATGCCTTCTCCTGAGTCAAGCTGCGCCTTGTTTCGTAAACGCATTGAACGCTGGGCATGGTATGAACCTCGACATTCTCTTTATATCTTCAAAAATGAAGTATCAACAAACTGCGATCAAATTAGCTTGATAGAAATAAAATGAATGTGCGCAGTTACCAGAGATTTTCTGGGAATGTTGAAGTCAATTTAAAAAAGCATGCATTGAGATCAATGCACTGGGCGTTCAAGGTGCTAAATGAAAAGTCCAGGTCATTCCATTGCTGCAACTAATGTTTGTCAAATCTGTCGATAACATTTGGTTTATGCCATTGCATTTTCGTATTTTTTCAGCAAATGTCATTGCTTTTAGTTGTTATCATTGATAATTGGTATCGCGTTTGGTGCCTTTTCATTGCATGGAATACTGGCAATTCTAGCCTATGTAGCTGTATCAACAATGGTTGCTCAGCACTTTGTGGTGAAATTTCAGCAGGTGGGATGATAAAGTAATTGATTGTCTTCGCATTCGTGAGATTAAACTCCTTACATTTCTTGCAGTTCCTTGAACTTGAAGTATTGAAACTATTCTTTTGTTTTCTGACAAGAATCTTATCGGCATCTGCTTTTTCATGTTTTCGGATGGTTTTTTTACATACAGTGCGCATTCATCATTATTAATGGTACAAGCGAACAAACACGTAGATCAACCTTATAGAGTAAGTAATAGCTTTCAGTGGGAAGTCAGATGTGGAAAGAGTATGTGCTTCGACCAGGTCACGTCGTACGTTAAGGACCCTAGCGAGGGGGGGGGTCATAAATAGTCGCTGGAAGCAGGGGATAGGTTGCACAATTGTTTGGTTTTTACCCTTCAACTTGACAGTCTTTTGTTGGAAGGAAGCTGAAATTCCAGTAAAGTTGGGAAGAAGTTTAGAATTTATGAAGACAGGAAAACGGTAGGTAGGCTGAAGGAGGGAGGGAGAGAGGTTTGAAGGGGAGGAAATGTTTCCGCAACGGCTTGTGCGCCGACTTTGACCCAGGAGCCACTGTAAGGCATCGTTTACTGTTAGCCTTGACTAATCGTGATCATCTACTACTCTCGTAGCATGCCTGTAAGGATCCGAGCTCCATACTTTTTGATTACCTGGTTTCGAATGGGCATTTTGTACTTTGCTGTCATAGTGCATGTCTCAAGAAGAACGCTTGTAAGCAGTAGAAAATGTCGCAAGTGAGACTGCTTTCAACCAAACCTGATTCCTCTCCCACGTATCTTCTCTTTGAGCGCAATGTAATCTGAAGAAATTGTCCCTCATTCATCAAAACAACAAAACGAAAAGTGAAAATTTCCTCTCATTCTTTGCGTATTTATCAGAAGATTAGATACGCCATCTTGACATCAAAAACGTCGGGTACGTCGATTACATCGTTTGGCGACCACTACGTTTGGACGATTACCTAATCGAATTTACTAAGATTACTAGGTTCGGGTTGTCAAACTGTGTACAGCACCCCGAAACATTGCGCGCTGGAACGTTAATAAATGTGCGTCGGATCGGCACAACAAATCGGGCGCGAAACCAATCGTTATGTTGACCGCTAGTTTGGTGTCGTTAAATAGAATCCCTGTTACTACCCGGCCTTTGCATAACCGCAAGGGGAGGGGAGGAAGCTCCGGGTGATGCGACCACCTGGGCAACGAACCGCCTGAATCCCGGAAGGTCAACCTATCCCAGCGCCCGTGATGGTTACAGTACTTCCCAACTACGTAAATTTAATTGTCTACGCAGACACCAAGCCTGGCATTCGGATACATCACAGGTACAACATCCACGCGCGAATTTCGGGTAAGTACACGGCCTGAACAACCTAAAACTTATAATTGATTCAAATTCTGCTGCGGGTTACGTCAGCTTTACATCGATTACATCGATCAATATGTATGTATTTGCTGTGCGTAGCGTCGATACGACACGTATCTAAGGTATGAACCGCCTTTCTGACAAAGGATTGACGTCATTGTGCTAGCGAGTCATTATTCTCACGCAATATACCGTTATTTCGCTTTCTGGACTGTTTGGCCATGGTCACGCGGATGAGTGGGCAGCTGCTGCCAACCCGTTCTTCACATAGTTGTTACAGTATCAGGCGATATGACTCGTGTCAATATCGTCGATTATATTTTACATCATTATTTGTCCATCCGAGCCCACAAGAAGGCAAGAGAACGGCTTTAGAAACTGGGTGACACACTCATACGCCCAACCGTCCGCAGCGAACTAGAGTGTAAACGCTGCCTTATCCTTCCCTACGGTTTTGGTTTTTATTCGTATGCGTTCCAGGTAGACGAAGATGACGTAGGAGGATTCTGGGAACTTGCTAAGGAAGGATTCGGGTCTGCATTCGCGACCTTCATGGTGGCATGGATTACTGTATATTCGGCTGTATATCAAAGTTCCTGATAGTGTTTCGTGAGGTGTAGTTGAATTCTCTCCAATCCTCTCGCTGTTTAGCTGATAGTCAAACTATAATAGCCATATGGTACGGCTATCGAGTATCGATTCACAGTTCTTTCCTGTTTGTGATAGATTGTTTCTAATTATAGTTTAGCGTTATTTACTCATGTTATGTTTCACAATAACATGTTAATTTAATAACTGCATTATATTCCATAGAACAAGCGAATCTATGGGTATGTGAACGTAAAAAGTTCATGTCTGTGATAAATGTTTGACTTGCAGTGGCACAGTAAGTATTGTCTTGGTTTCATCCATCCATATCTCTGCAATTTATTCTATTGCTCAAACTACTTAATAATTGAAAAGTTTTAAGATCTTTAAATGAATCTCGTGGTCCGTAGTTAAGATTGCTGACTGCTCTTGTTTGCGCTGTTGATCTCGTAAGTTTATTCTGATTCTACATCTGCCCTTATTTGAAGTCAGGGATGAAGGGGCGTGTCAGGCGGCATGAGTTTGGCGCGGCGTCAAACCATTTTCCATTGGTTGAAGCGAGAGCAAGGCTGTGTGATTTCATTCGTATCAGTCATCTCCTCTACTTATTGCCGCCTAAGCCGCCTCGACAACTTGTTGGGGTTTGGTTCGGCGCCGTGCCTGACCCGTCCCGCCTGACACGCCCCATCTTCGCAGCAAAGAAGACTATATAAATAGTTTCAACTATTTTCAGCACAAAATTTATTTCAAATTCCCGTGATTCTTCCATGACTAATCATTGCGAATGAGTCCAACAAGTGGCGTTTGGGTAGCACCATATTTGCTAATTACCTTGGCAGTCTTGATCTCGTCAGAACCAAAATCGAGTACGTTTCATTTCTTTTGTTAGGTTTTATAAGTAGGTAGTTCTCAATTTCTGCGAACAAGAGAACTTGTTTTTCGTAGCCATGATCTCCCCGACGTATTTCACAGAGAAAAGCGGCATGCTAGGTCAGATCCTGATTACATGCCATATGGGTACTGCGCAACCTAGCAGGAGGTCGTGTATGAGCTCGGTAGAACTCTTTCGCTTGCTGATTCCTCCACTTTCACGAAGCTGGGCGCGGCATGGCCTCCTGATGCCTCCACTTTCGAAAGTCGACTATTCTTGTTAATCGATAAACTTTATAATGAGAGAAACCACCCTTAGGGTAGGAACCTAACAGACTTATCCTATCTTAATACTACCAACAAACTAAAAATAAATGGCATAGCTAAAAATACAGTCTTGCGCTGCCGAAAATGGTTTCCTAGCCGTTTCTCTTTTTCAATCAAAAAAAAACTATCCCTTTTGACAAGTCTCCTCATCCGCAGCGGACAGGACTGTAAGTGGTGTCTACCACCCCACTCCCGCTCCCCGACATTCACCAACCTCGATAGCAGAATTCCAGGCAAATTAGGTATGTGTGTGGAGGAGGTAGGTTGCAAAAGGGGTCGCACTGGAGGAAATGGGGAAGGTCATACTGAGACTGCCCTTATTTTACCTATTCCGTGCTTATATTCTGTCGTGTGAGCCAATGGGGCCGCCACTTTGCGGTACAGCAGGATCGGATGGAACGAGGATGCGCGTAAAGGAACATATAACTTTTAATTACTAAGCATTATCATAGAAGGAATAGGTTTAATTATCATAGAATCGGAGAACTCGCGCCTGATTAGATGGGAATCTGTAGTCCTGTTATTCTCCATTCACCTACTCTTCGATTCTCTCCTGTTTTCCGACTCGATTATTGACTGGTGCTCCTATTCCATTTTTTTCCTTCTCTCTCTTTTTTTCTTCTTCTTCATCTTCTTCAGTTTCCCTGTCCTTTCATCCTTCTGGTCCCTTATTCACATACACTTCCAATAAACGAGGTCGATCGACTTCCACCTTATCCTTTGGTGCGCATTCTCCGCTTCATTATTTTTTCGAATTAAATGTTGCGAAGTATGAAAGTGGCTTATTGTCCAGGATATTGCAGATTTCTTAACATTTGTGGTTATTGGACAACGTTCGAAATTTGATAATTTGAAAACTGGTGCTCTCAAAGACTCGATTTCGCAACAAGTTGAAATTTTGAAAGAGGTAGGTGATACATGAGTACCGAGATCGAATTATTGGTTGAAGGGATTGGTTTTAGAATGTTGATATATTGATTCCTCATATTGACCTTTCGGACATTCATGGCTATTGGACGACGTGGACGCTTTTCAGTAGGTTTGACACACTTTTCTCATTGCTAGGTTTAATTTCTTGATTTGAAGCGGTCCAGAGCCTTTTTTGAAGATCTTTTCTTTTTGTTACTGCTTTGTGTTTTTTTTTCTAATTTTTGATGTCTCGAGGCGGTTGACCGCATAGTTTTAAGGATCTCTTCCCTTCACTCCATCGGAATGGTATGTATTCCTGGAGTCAGAGTCTAATGTAGATGCGCCCACATTATTTTCATTCCTGAAAGCTTTTAATCCATCAAAAAAAGTTTTCCTAGGAAATGGGCTTCACGATAAGAGGTAGGCTTCTCTTTTGTGATGTTCCTGTCTGGACTGAATTCTGTTAGTTTTTGTTTTTAGTCCTACTATCATACATCATTTCTACGGATATGATGACGATCCTGGTCATCTGTATCGATTTGACGAAGAACGCGAAAAAATATTTGAATATCCTGACTTCGCTGCAGGTTTCGTCCTTTCGAGAGAACTTTTAATGAGGTAGTTGTCGGCGCACCGTTTTTTAAACACGTTAATAATCAAGACTTACCGAAAATATAATATTTGTAGCTTGGCGCTAACAATGAATACTACAGCCGTCAAAGGTGCTGATGCGTTCTCAATCGATCCGAAGCACGAGGTCAGAAATAGCGAGCTCGAAAGCGTTGTTATTCGACAATGTGCTTATTGCAGTCAATTTTCAGTTGGCGCTACTCATTTACGATCAGTTCAAGACACGGTTGGAATCTCATCCGGATCAGTTCTGTAATCGAAAAATGGATGGATGCGCAATTTACTACGAGGTTAAATTCTCAGCGCAATCTTGTACTTTCTCTAGACTTAGAAGTATTTGAAGAAAAAGTTGCGCAGCCTTCTTTCAATAACAGACCTCGCACTCAGACGAGTCGCGAGATTCCTTCCTTGCCGATCAAGTCGATACGCAGCCTCAGAAACTGTCCATTACGAATTTGCACAATCTGGCGAGGGAGCTGCGATCGCATTAAGTTGAAGTCAACAATCGTGGGAGGCGGACCGTCCGCCATGTCTACCTTAGGCTGCTGGTCCTTGACGACAAAAGGAGGGGGTAGCTGCGATTGATGCTTTGTCAATATTCATTTAACTTGTCCTTTTTTAATTTCTTGGTTTTTTGACTTCCTGCTTACTTCATTCAGGAAATCACATGCGCCGATGTACCTTTGATCAAGCCGCAGGATATATTGTGGGCATAAAAACATTCAGTGAATACCATACCACTCGTAGTATGTTCTCTTCTTCCCTTCCAGTTTCTGTTCTGAGTGGTCATGTTCTGGCCTTGCTGAAAAATTGCTGGCCTTCAATTTTCAGTACCAGTGATCAAGAGAACCTGGAGTGCTCCTCTACCATCTATCGAATATTACAGCGATTTGGTGAATAATGTGATCCCCACGATCGATTCTGGGATACCCAATACTAAAAAAGGTATTGCAGTGAAAAATTATCTTACGAATATGACGGCCTGTTCTCATGTGTTTGCTTGCATTTTTTGTTGAATTATTTTGTTTTCTGTTGTTTTGATCTGATGCGCATAGGCGTGCTACAGCAATGACTCCTTCAAGCTCCATTAGGTCTTAATTAACAGCGCAGTACGCTGCCCAAGCCCTTGAAGCCACCTTCATACCTCGCTATACTCTATGTGCGCCGTATTCGGAACCCCTAGGCCTCCGGTGATCCTCATCTACTGCTTCGGTGAATTCCTGGTTTTTTTATTTATACACTGACTCTCCGGAATGATACATATGCTTTCCTTCCTGCATATTTCTCCAGGTCGAGCATTCCCCGATTCTTCAATGAGAGTATGAACGGAGGCGTATGATCGGCACAAAAGCCTGAGTAAAGCTGTCGCACAAATTCCATTGAGTTAAATGTCCCTCACTTACTAA